AAAATCTATAATTTATTGGAACTAAGCTGGAAAAATGAATATGAAGGTGAATTAAATGATAAAACATGAGGTAAAGTTCTCCTTTTTAACTTATTTGTTGCATTTTAAATGTATTTATTTATTTACAGGTTCATTTATCTATTTCTGCTTTTATTTCCAATTATGTCAGTGTCGGCCCTCCATACTGCAGAACATGAAGAGGTAGTTCAGTGACTGAWTCAGGTGTGTTGGAGCAGGAAACATGTAAAAACATGTAGGGCTGCGGACCTCCAGGACCATGATTGCCCACCCCTGTGCTTTATAGTCACTAATGTATTTTTACAGCATTAATGAGAGGAAACCTGCTTTAAGTGTTAATGTTTTAAAATTTTAGGTGTGAGAAATGTCAGGCTACCTTCATAAATACCTCCTGTATGTGTACTTCTCCTAATGTCCTGGTGAGTTCAAACGTCTGGCCACAACAAAGTCCTGAAAAGCAAACCTGTCGTAGACACACACAGTGTTTCTACGTGTTCGTTTTTGTAGGCAGGAGGATTATGTTTCCCTTCAGGCGGCCTTTCCACCAACGTGAACCCCAGTGTCAACTACGCTCAGCTGGTGAGACGTTTTGTTTTTCACTAAGCACATTAATGCAGATTTTGTTTTTCTCTTCCGATTTATCATCACCTGTTCTTCTTCTGCAGAAGTTCAGCATCCAGTCTGCCTGGTTTGAGGAGAACCTCTACTCGTCTGCAGCAGCATGCCTTGTAATCCTAAGAGGTTTTTTTTTCTTTTAAAGGAGTAATATCATGTAAAATCGAGTTTTATATCAGGTTAAAATGTTATCCTGTCATCAAAAACATGCCCAGAGTCTTGCTTTGACTCATTCATGCATGTTTGAGAAATCTTGTAGTCCTGAGGCAGCCAGGCAGGGGAGCAAAAACCACCGGTTGGGACTAGAACCACCTTTTAGGACCAGCTCCTCCTCTGGGCTGTGTCTCCAGCTGAGCTTCCTCATCACAGAACACACATACGCCTGGCCCTGTGCTGAAATGGGCGGGACAGAAGCTGAAGGAGGTTCTTAAAGAGACAGAGGCCAATTTCAAGGTGTTTCAAACAGATATGATGAGAAGTCAAGTTTATTTTCTATTTAAACATAAAAACAACATTTTAATAACAACTGAAGGTGACATAGTTACTTTATTATGGTGTAGAATTTAAATATGTGCCAGAGAAACACATAATGTTGCCCTTTTAAATGTGGCCCATCACATCGAAATGAGGATTAAGTCAAATTTGGTCAAAATGACCTCATTATATTTTCTGATTCTTGGTTTTAAAAGCTACATTTTGATACTTAGATCATCCTGATGTCAATAGTAGATCCACAGATATTTAATTTGTCTTGTTAG